ACACGTTTTCCGGTGGGGGGGGGGCGGCCCGGGAGAGGAGGTGTTCGTTCATCGATACTTTTTTAATTTCCAGCTCCCTCCCAGAGGAGAGAATAAACATTGTATACATCAAGATATATTATTCTCCTAGATATATCCAATTACTCCCTGGTTAATATAAACACATAGATCTAGATATATCAGTCTTATTTACGGAGATACTGTTGACAGATGATATCCATTTTTCAATTTGATATGAACAAGTAAAGCTAAGAAAATAATTGACGCTTGCTACAGTGTGATCAAGTATTACTGCAACAAAAGTTAACTTCAGAAATCTACTAAAATATATTTAAAAATTCGCAAATTCAGTTTTCTTCAAGAGAACATTTTGATTATTGTAAAAAACAAATATTTCAATTAATCCTTACCTTGAGACGTGTTACAGCACAAACCAAATCACTAAACATTTATCACAAAACGACATTGAGGGTGCTCTTATATCGTCTGTAGTTTATGTTGTACAGCATTGTAGTGTTTGATTTACAAACATGTTTCTAGGATTTTTCTATTGTTATTTTTTTATAAATTGCATATATTACATTTTAGATTGTAGATTAATTGCAGATTAGAAAATCAAAGTTTGAAATTAAAGTTTATAGATTGCACATCGAAATTAAAGATTGTAGATTAAATAAAGGTTTTAAATATAGTGTTACCCACGGCCACAAAGGATGAGGCCGCTGTAAAGACGAGCTGAATCTCTGTAAATTGTAATACTTTTTTAATATTGCTAAAAATATTACTTATTGTAAATTGTAATACATATTGAAAATTTTAAATTGTAATGCTTATTGTAAATTGTAAATTGTAATGCATATTGAAAATTGTAAATTGTAATGCATATTATATATTTAGGACATAGATTGCAGGTTGTAAGTTATATATTGTATGTAAATAGCAAATTCAATAGAATAGGTTGCACTGTAAATGTAGATTGTAGATTTTTGTAATAGATTGTAAGTAGATTGTATTTTACTTTTGTATATTATAGATTGCAAATTGAAGATTTAGATGTTTATAACAGATTGTAAAAAGATTGCATTTTACTTTTGTACATTATAGATTGCAAATTGTAGATTGTAGAATTTTATATTAGATTGTAAGTAGATTGTATTTTACTATTGTATATTATAGATTGCAAATTGAAGATTTAGAGGTTTATAACAGATTGTAAAAAGATTGCATTTTACTATTGTATATTATAGATTGCAAATTGAAGATTGTGGTTTAAAATGAAGCCGAGCAATTGTTTTCAACTGTAGTCGAGATCAATTAATTTCAATAAAATCAAACAGCATGGATGAATGTAAATATAAAGAAAACAATTTGAGGATTTATTCGAAAAAGAAAAAAATATTAAGGACAAAAAGAAGGAGAAAGACATTTATTTGAGACCAGCTTGGGAACTCAGATTTGTCTGGAAACTACATAATAATTTTTAAACCATGCTAACAACGTTCCTGTGGTTCTACCGAGTTCCCAAATCAAAACTTTAGGTCAATCGGTGTAACAGTTTTGACATTTGACATACAAACAAACAGACAGAAAAACAGAGAATACTACTCCATCATGAATTCGAAATATTGGATACTCAAAAAAAGTATTTCTTGTTTTTAGAATGTATTTTCCGAACACACTTCATGAAAATACATTTCCGGAACCAAGCTACTCAAATTTTGCACATTGTTTTTATCGGAAACTGGATCTATTTTAGAACGGAAATGAATAGTAGAATAAATACAGGAACTTTCTTTTTTAAAGATTTTATTTTAAAAAACCAAGGAAAATAGTTGGTCCTTTTGAACAGGCGAAACTAATCTAAATCTGTTTAAATAAGTTAAACTCATCCTTTCGGAAGATTGAATAATATGAGGCGTTAGTTCGGATTAGAATTTTAATGCGTACAGGGATTAAACAAACAGGGTGTCCAATTTAAGTTTTAAAAGGGCTTATTTTAAGAACAGAATATAAGCACTATAATGTGGGTTGACTTTTAGCACTTTTTGAATTTTAAAGAGAAAACTGAATGATTTATTATAGGAATAAACAATTTTGCTCTAATACTATATCATACCCTGAATTCTAACCGCTTTGATTTATTTAAACCAATCAAATACTTTAAACCCTAAACCGGTCCAAACTACTTTATTCTACCTCCCAGTCTCAAATTTTCACTTAAATGCATTTTTAATATTGCATTTCAAGACAGAGCCAGCTAAACGAATATATAAGTCTACTGCAAGTAATAAAAGGATGAAAAGTAAACTTTTTAGACTAAGAACCCCTGTTAACTACACTATAAAAATATTTATAACTATATTGCATGATTATTAAATGCTGGAATTAATTTGTGTTGTTGTTCTGTACAAAACCCTATATACTAGATTTATATCAAACCTTCAGATATCAACCAGTGCAGTGGACGGATTGATATCTAGATATTAACCAGCGGAGCTGTTATAAAAATATCTTGTAATGAAGGTTATTAATATCTAACTATGGAAAAACCGTGTGGAAGTACTTTGTGAAAGGATTCACTGGGAGCGCTTATTTCTCACATCTTTCCTACTTGAACGTCAGCAGACAACTGAAGTGAATGAAGCTTAACAGGGCTGAAAAGTACCATCAACATGGGAAATTAAGGCCCTAAGGCCAATGGGGGGGGGTGAATCACTATAATATACATTAAACCATAGGCAGTATTGAGTGCTATAAATATTGCGGTAAGGGAGAGGAGAGAGAGAGAGGGGGGGGGGGTAAAATTTCCTAATCACATCCTGTGCGTAGCGTCTCACTTGTATTGGTCGACTGAAACAAAAACTGTCGGAACCAGTTTAAACTGCATTTCGGTGGGATTTAAATTGGGATTTAAACTAGGATTGAAACCGGCTGGGATTTAAACTGAAAATACAAAAATATATTTGGAATTTATGGAGTTAAGTTTGGATTTCTGCAGGAGAATAAAGGATTTAAACTTTTAAGTTTTTAATTAGGATTTATTTAATATCTAAAACTTTGAATTATAATGGAATAAATAAAAGATAATTGTTGTTGATTTTTTTGTTGCAGGAAACAGAACAAAAGAGACCTCAGTCTTTACTGTAGCATTTGTTGATCTATTCTAATCTCAACTATAAACAGTTTTTAAACTTTACTAAACTATAAACAGTTTTTAAAGAACGTTCACCCCCATGTACAGAAGAAATATTTTATTTAAATGGAAAATAAATTACCAAATCCCTTTTTTCCATGCAATGTTTAGGAGGCTCAGGATCGATTGCGCCTCCGGTATAATCAGCTAATAAACCCCATAGTAAAACTGCAAAAATATCCGGTTTTGATGTGACTAAACATTTATTTTACATATTTTTCACAAAGAGATAATTTATTGATAACAGTATTAATAATGATAATAAAGGAATTGAGTCTTTGCCACAAACTCTGATTTTCTAATCACTATATCTTTGGAACCAAATGTTGCAGACCTTAGACCTTATGAATTCTGTCAGATTAAATAATCTGAGTTTGAAATATCAAAGATTTACAACATCGAGTTCTAAAGATATTGAGGTTTAAATATTTGATTTTTGTTCCAAAGACTCAATTCCATTCGATGAACATTTATAATATTTATATTTAATTTTGTGAGAAGTTTTCAACTTCAGATTTTTTTTATTAATTTCATTTTGTAGATTCCAATCCATTTCCTTTATGAATAATAAGGGTAAACCCTACCATAGGGTGGATAACCTAGTGTATAATGATGGTAAATTATGGTAAAAGTAGAATTACTTTAAACATTAATAAGAAAAAGTATAAATATCTTAAATCAAATTAATTCAATGAAATCAAATGAACTTGATCAAATCAAATATGAATTTACTAAACCTCAAATTTTCTGAGAAGAACTTGTTGATTGATTAAAAAGAATTCTTTTAAATCCTAAAGTTTTGATATTAAAGAGAGGGTGCACGAATAATGACAACAGAAATAGGTCTTATACCTTTTTTAAATTTTTAAAGGTGTTGTTCACTTTTTTACTCCCCGTCACTGCCTTGTCTACCTTTATCATCAGAAAATGGTAGGTTTAGGTACAAGATTATAAATTTTAATAACCGCGGAAACCTATTTTGCCAAAACGTTCTAGAAAGGAACGGAGTCTTTGTCACAAACTCAAATGCTCTATATTCCTCTATCATTGCAATCTTTTTCAGAAGGAGGAGTATCATACTGGGTGTTTTTTAATTCTGTAATTTTTAAAAAGCTTATATCTCAGACATTAAAAAAATACTTTTGATATAAAGAAAAGTTGTGAATAGATTATTAATGGACGTTTTATAATTTGAAATAAGAATCCCCCAAAAAACCATTTAATCATCGTACAATTTCATATTTTCTGTCACTTCATATTTTTACGAAAAAAATCATGTTTTCTGGAGGGGCGGACCAAAAATAATACTCCGATCCCTTTAAGACGAACTAGGCATTGTCATAGAGAGGGTTCCCTATAAATGGCAGCCAGATCGGTAAAAAATGAGGGTGTAGCGTTAAAACCCTGTCGCGCACCTCTCGCCCATGTCAAAGTAGCAGACAACTTCCGCTCTAGAACCAGTTCGTCTGCGAAAGAGAACGGAGGCCATTTTGAACATTTAATGAAGAATTCTAAATAATTTTTTTTGCTTTAGACAAAACGTCGATGTGGACAACCTTAATTGTTTAATAAATATAATCCATAATAATTTAACCTGTGCTGTACCAGAATCATAAATAAAAAAACACCCTGAATAATTACATCCGTTTGTAGCTATAACACCCCAAATAAAAAAATATTTAAGATAAATTTGCAAGATTTTATTATTCTTTTACTTGAATATTTCAAAAAAGGACCAATAAATGATAGAATAAACAGTTGTGACCAGAAAAATCTGGAATGGCCTGACAATCTTAAATTGATTAAATTTTATCGCTAAAACATGTTTATATTTATTCATTTATTAAAATTTACAATAAAAAATCAGTTTATGGATTGCTTCAAAATTGATTAAACTATATGTACTAATCTACAGATAATATACTAAAGGTCGTCGTTGTATTCCAGATCGTTCTAGTTTGATATTAATTAGGCTTGATATCCATCATATCCTAGATTATAGTATTCAGCTGTACTCCCAGGGGGTTCAATGTCAAGAGCACTAAACACATAGATTGATAAAAATACAGATAGAACACTAGATGTCGTCTTTTCAAGATTTAGGAGGTTTTCCGTTTACAATAACCCTGAGGCAGAGGCCCAAAGGAGTTACACGCATGCAGCATTGAAATACAACACAGAGAGAGAGCATGCATCGTGTAACTCCTTTGGGCTGCTACATCAGGGTTATTGTGAACCCCTAAATCTTGAAAAGACGACATCTTCATTATCTTCAATTCTTTATTTCTTATGATTCTATTCGCGGATTTTAGAGATTGCAAGCACACATTACGCAGAAAAGACAAAAGAGAAAATTGATATCTTAGTTTTTTTCATTTTTACACTAGAGTAGCATTTTTACACTAGAGTAGCATTTTTACTCTATAGTAGCATTTTTACACTAGAGTAGCATTTTTACACTAGAGTAGTATTTTTACTCTATAGTAGCATTTTTACACTAGAGTAGCATTTTTACACTAGAGTAGCATTTTTACACTAGAGTAGCATTTTTACACTAGAGTAGCATTCTTACACTAGAGTAGAATTTTTACACAAGAGTAGCATTTTTACACTAGAGTAGTATTTTTACTCTAAAGCAGCATTTTTACACTAGAGTAGCATTTTTACACTAGAGTAGCATTTTTACACTAGAGTAGCATTTTTACACTAGAGTAGAATTTTTACACTAGGGTAGCAGTTTTACACTAGAGTAGTGTTTTTACTCTATAGTAGCATTTTTACACTAGAGTAGCATTTTTAAATAGAGTAGCATTTTTACACTTGAAAAGCATTTTTACACTAGAGTAGCATTTTTACACTAGAGTAGCATTATTACACTAAAGTAGCATTTTTACACTAGAGTAGCATTTTTACACTAGAGTAAATTTTTACATTAGAGTAGCATTTTTACAACAGAGTAGCATTTTTACAATTGAGTAGCATTTTTACAATTGAGTGGCATGCATTTTAAGTGCGTCTTACATTGCATGCACACAAAACACATAGATATATGTAAAAGGACGCAAATTTCTTGGGGGTTTAAAAATATTTTGACCAAGTGTTACATTTTTTTTTCATTAAACCTTTAAGTGTTACATTGCATGTAAATTTTAGTTTTGCATTTAAACCAAGTTTTACGCATTTTGCCTTGTTCGCCTTTGATAATTTTGTTCCTTTAAATATTGTATTTTGCAAAGCCTAATCTAAATAATATGAGAGAATATATGCCTGAAATAATTGTTACCGATAAAAAAATATTCCTCTTTTGGGTATAGATGTAAAATGGGTTATGTTTATTTTTGAAAAATGCAATATTAAGTGGAATACAAATACAATACAAGGATAAAACATACAACAGACAATTTTGTAATTTTTGTCCATACAGAATACATTTAAAGTTTTTATTAAGCAAATCTATAAATTTAATTCTATTAAAATATTTTTTTTTTCACAGAGGTTCATTGTGTGCTCATTCTTTCTTAGACATTTTCCCCATCCGAATGATTTAAAAACTTTTTTATCTAAAAACTCCTTCTAAAATATAAGCTAAACCTCGGCTACTACTGGAGCTAATAAGCTAAACCTCGGCTACTCCTGGAGCTAATAAGCTAAACCTCAGCTACTACTGGAGCTAATAAGCTAAACCTCGGCTACTCCTGGAGCTAATAAGTTAATCCTCGGCTACTCCTGGAGCTAATAAGCTAAACCTCAGCTACTCCTGGAGCTAATAAGCTAAACCTCAGCTACTCCTGGAGCTAATAAGCTAAACCTCAGCTACTCCTGGAGCTAATAA